TCCAGACTGAGTTGATGATAGCGATCGACAAGACTCTATCACCCACCAGAGTCAATGCTAGCGTCAGATGACGATCCTCTTCTGTCACACGACTGGACTTTGTACGGTTGTATCCGCCACGGTAGCAAGAATACAGAGTCCCAACATTATTATCAAGCAATACTTGGGAAGTATCCCCAACCCGTATTAACAGACCGTTGCATGCTGCTTTATCAACCTATAAATGAAGACCAAGGTTCGATCCCTCCACCCGGCATCTGACTAGCGTTACATTGATGCCTGCAAGGATGGTTCGTTGACGCTTGTCACTCGGCATGTGCAACCTCACAGATGCCTCGAGCCTCTCAAGGGTTGCCGACTCTCCGACAGCAAAGGCAGCTTGTACCTGCTTTGATGTAAGCATCTACGACTGCGTTCTCCGTGGGGAAATCAACATAAGCGATACCATATGCTTATGAAAGCCGCGATAAACTATCACACGGAATGTCATTCCATAGCTACCTCCTGACGAGGAGCTTCTTAATACAAAGATGGTGATGAGGCTGATCAACTACACCCCACCCCCTGCGGACCTGCTGAGCATGCTCATCGAGCCACTTAAGGAGCTCCTCTGGCATTGGCGTAGCAGTAGCAGATATCGTACACTTCACGCCATCAGATGCAAAGAACGACGTTTCACCTTTACCATCAGGCTTCAGCACACTAGAGTATCTACCCCGATCAAGTCCTGTAATACAGCAGGCCAGCAGATACAGCCCTACTCGCTCAGCCAGCTGATGCCAGATCGTCCACCCAGTATTCCTTCTCTGCTGTCGGCAGTGAACTGGCGCCAATCGATCGGCGGGTCAATCGCAACCGTCTCACGGAGCTCCACCATCGGCTCGGATACTCGACAATCCGCCCCAATGGCATACAACTGACGAAGGTCTTGAATCTGACATGCCAACTCCTATAAGCAATGCCACACTGACGAGAAGAGTATATCCGAACACTAAAGGGGCCCACTCACACAACGATGCAGGTGCTCATCGCCGCAGCATCCAACGAGCAGTTCTCCTGTGTCTGGATTCCGCGCCACACTAGCAGCTGGGTCAGCCTGCTTTAAACGAATCAATCCCAATGTGAGAGCATCTGTATCCTCCAATCGGACTGGTGACACCGACACTCGAACCTGTCACCAAGCAATGTCTGATCCCACAGTTGCCAAGCCCACGGCGTCTCCAACGATTGTCATACGGGCCCTCTAGGGCCGATGGGGGTGGACGACCAATACCGAATCACCCCTCCCATGTAACACACTCAACCCACGTTGAGCAGGCACCACACGAATTCCACATTCTCGAGTAAAAATTATAGCTCTCGACAGGGGCGAAACTTTATACCATTATACGGGTCAAAACTAAACCATTTAACATGAACGCCCCCTATATTGAATAGTTAAGTTTTGAGCTTCAACATTTCAGTTTCAGATCTGTCATTCACACGCGACACGGTATCAAACTCAGCGATGCAACGTAAGGATCAGTGCATCATCCTCTCAATACTGGTGTTTCTCAACCGGCGGAGCCCTCCTATTACAATGCTCTGTTGTCCCTCGAATGGACTGACGAACGGTGGCATATCCCTCGCGCTTGATAGCGTCACCCCACTGCATGCCGACCGCTTGGCGGCCTCGAGCGCATC